CAAAAGCAAAACAACACTTACTAAATGATGAACCCAAAACGATTAGCATGGTGCTTTCCTTGAGATACCTGTCACGTGCTACACCGTCATGCATGAAGGGAAGGTAGCATTTTTGGGCGGGGCCCCAGCGCGAAGCGCCCAGGGGGCCCCCGACCTGTAGGATTGCCCATGTCCGTGTGTGTGTGTGTTGTGTGTGTGTGTGTGTAACGGACCAAACATAATATCTCGCCCGGCTGAAACGCGAAAGTCACAACGCCTCTCGGGCTAAACTTAATCTCAAAAGGTACCGCGTATCTCATATTTGAATTCTTAGATGACGGCGTATGATAGCTCGAACTCCCAGGCCTTGAGTGTGTAACGGACCAAACATAATATTTCACCCGGCTGAAACGCGTTATCGGTATTATATAGCATTCTCTATTGCAAGGTATCTCGCATGTAGCTAAAAAAGTTCGTATGAGCACAGACAACTTTGGCTGCCTCCATTAACCGAGCTCATAGTCACATCAACGCCTCTCGGGCTAAATTTCATCTCAAAAAGGTGCCGGGTAACTCATCATTGATTTCCGAGATGACAGCGTATGATAACTTGAACACCCAGCTTGTGTTACCATTTGCCCGCACGGGCATTCCGACTTGCCACCAGCAGGCCGACAAATTTGCTTACATTTCTCTATGAAATACGCAAGCTGAGCATATGTACATTTACTTTAGCCAATGCTCGGGGCCTCCGGAGACTTGCGGTGTGCCCCGATGAAGCCCGCGGCTGTGGGGCGGATTGCTGAGGCCGCTGGCGCTTCGGGGATAAACATCACAGACAGCACCGAAATTCACCCAGCTTTCGTTACCATTTGCCCGCACAGGCATTCCGACTTGCGGTCTGCCACACTGTCCATGCGGCATGCACCCGGGATGGATGCGATTCGCGTGGAGCCCGCAGGCGGTGCTGACGGTTCCGCCGGTGCAAGCTTAGCTCTCACACCATCAGCACTGCTGCAACAAAGCACGTCTCCCACCGCGTTGACACTACCCATCAATTGTCACACGTGCTGCGCTAGCTACCGGCCTGTACGGATGCAGGGGGGCCCGCTTTTTTCCGGCTTCGAGGAAGCCGACACCCGACTTGTCCTTGTTTGGGACCTTGTTTGCTTTTTCTCCATTTTTGGGCGAGGCCTCGGACGCGAAGCGCCATTCGGGGGGCCGAGCCAGGTGTTCACTGCTGTCAGTCAGTCAGTCTGTCAGGGGCTTACATATCTTGCTCCGCAAAAAATAGCGTTGAAAAGCTAAATCAATTCTACATCGATTGTCCAAAGGAGGTAATTCAGATAAATCGGAACGCAAAGATACCTTTCCAGGGTAAGATAAATTTACATATCTCGCTCCGCTAAAGATTGCATGTAAAAGCTACATCAGTTTTCACTGATTGGCCAAAGGAGAACATTCAGCTAAATCGGAGCGCGAAGATAGCCTTCCATGGCTTCGAGTTTGACTTCCCCGCAGCCTTTGCCTCTGACGTCGTTGCATGTCCCTTACATGGTAGATTCATAAGCAAACGGCATGATTCTTTATAGGCTGATAACAGATAGCGGAGCAGCTGTGAGGGTCACAAATCCACGTGCCAGGAAGAATAGCGTGGGTGGTCAAGCGGCAAAGCCAAAGCAGGTACCAAACGGCTACATGTTGTTCACGCAATCACAGAAGGCAGAAGCAGCGGCAGCTGGACAGAGCTCCCTGCCTCATGAGCATACAAAGCAAATCGCCTTGAAGCGGCGGCAGCTGTCACAGCCTGAGAGAGACTACTGGAACGCGCAGAGCATGCAACTCCGGGAGCACCAAACGGAGCACTGAATGTTTGAATCCCAGGCAGGCGTGATGAAGGAGGCCGCTGTGTGAATCTGTGTGAATCTCTGGCAGCCGTGTGACTTGTGCTGCATGTAATCTGATGAAGGGCCAAAGGTGCTGTGTGAAATCTAACACGCCCTACACCACACACATAACGCAATGCCCTCTAAGACCGAGAATTCATGCACTTCTTCACATACACTGAATGAATGAAGGTTACAGCGGACCCCGTGCAAGGAATCGTCGGTGCAATGCATCCCCGCATCACAATGCCCGAAAGTTAACAGTAGCTACAGCCCGCCAGCAGAACACCCAAAAATGCAGAGACACCCAGCGGGACACCACTACAAGGGGCAAACAAGGGGCAACAGCGACGCATCACGACTGCACCGGAAAAGGATAAAGCAGAACTCGGGGGAAGTCACCTACACAGGCACCTCAGGACACACTACCACCACCTACACGCAGCGCTCCAAGGGGGTGGCGCTTGCATCAGCCAGAGCTTTGCTCGGCTCACCCGAGCCACCATCTTCAATTCAACTTGGCCCACCGTGCCGAGGGCCACGGGGCAGGCCCAGAAGTGATGCGACACGACTTGACCTGCCAGACCTCTTTGTCTTGGAATCCTGGTTCCTGTAGTGAGCCTCCGTTACATCTCTTTGCGTTTTCATGAGTGACCGCTGCATTGCTCGATTGCGTTCGGTTCCGGATGGTTCCACTTGTTCTTTAACTTTTTGTTCACCGTATTCTTGATGAGTTTCGTAAAGCTTTTCAGGAGTTCGTTTTGGTTCGGCTAATGCCACCACAACAAAGTCTACTTTGACGAGCGGAGCCCCTTGTCCTATTATTATATGGACGCTTTTTTCACGAGGAATGGAAAGTGCATTGCTACATGGCCATACAGAGTGGCTGGTCGCGCAAAGTTAATTCCTGGACTCCATAGACGTGCATCATTCCACAAAGTGCGTCCTGAGACGCTCGAGCGATCCGAAAAAGGTTCATACGAAGGTCCTCTGATGAAATGTCGAGCGAGCCAAACAAAATCTGTGAGTTGCCAGGTCAAATCGCCCAGCTGGACGAGCGTGTACGGCGCCCGGTCCGCCGGCACCCAGTGTTCGGGCCGAAACGGAAACCTGCCGAAACGGAAACCTGCCGAAACTAGTTTCGGTGATTCCGGCGAAGAGGTCCTGGTTCTGCGGAAATGCCGAAACTAGTTTCGGCCCCTTTCGGCTAGCGCCGTACGGCGGAACCTACTTTGAATAGTTTCAAAGTGTAGGCGCGTTGTGCAAGGCTGCGAAACTCTGCGAATGTTGAGTTTATCTTATCAATGTCTCAGACAACTTCCGTTGTCAGTGCAGACACAGATTCGGTCAAAAACAAGGGCGGAAGGACCGCTGATCAGACCGTTTGGGCTCACTTTGAGAAGAAAAAATATAATGCAAAGTGTAAGAACTGGACTATCATCTGCAAGTACTGCCGGACCGAGTCCAAGCAAGGGCGCCTTCAGGAGATGCGCGTCCATATCGCGCAAAAGTGCGCGGGACCCGTCCACCCAAGATGGCTGTGAGCAGTGGTATGGAGGGCAGATCTTCAACCTGGTTCAGCGGCCCCCAACCACCAGCAGCTTCATGTAAAAGTTTCCCTTTGCGCATCCCAACATCAGACGCCAGTTACATAAGAAAAATGTCAGTGAATTCAAGCTTTAATCGCAGATTAGTAACATTATGGTGCCCCGGAGTGCCTTCGGACACACATGAGCAGGTCCCTTGAGGCGCAAAGGCACATAGGGCCCACGAACAACGTTTGCATACCATGGACGTCATAAAATACAGCATTTTCAGGGTTTCGGCAGGTTCCGGCAGGTTCCGGCAGGTTTCGCAGAAGGGTCCAAAAAACGGAAACTATTTCGGCATTGGCAGTAAGGTTTCGGCCCGTACACTGCCGGCACCCGATATGGATTGCTTCCTTCATGCTCGGCAAACCCATGGCAACGCTCTAATGGGGTCTTTCCATTGGCCAGCGGCTAAGAAATTTTACAAGTTGACTATAGAAATATATGAATTTCACTTTCCATTGGGCCCACTTTACACCAGGGATCTAGCCGATACCGAAACGTGCGGAAACGGAAACCTGTGGAAATAGGTTTCTTCCCACTTTCCGCAGAGAGCCTAGAATGACGAAAGTGCGGAAAGAGAATCCGCATTTCCGCGTTTGCAGTACGGCGGAAAGTCAAAAACAGATTCTACGCCTGCGTTTGCCATTTACATACGTGCGTTTACTTCAATACTGATATTACTTTAGGGTACATGTTGACATGGCCATACTGCAAGCGAAGCTGTCTCAAGCGAGCCTCCTCATTGATATGACCTCCAAGGTACTCAGCGGGAGTTCCGTGGAAGGACATTGACAAGGAAATGGCACTGGCCGGTTTGCGTAGCAGGCGAAAATAGACTGTTTTTCGTCTTCTACTACAAAACCGATCTGTGTTTGTGCGTATATAGACTTTCCTTTTACCTTGTCGTACAATAGTACAAGGGTTACATCGGTCGTACATTCGGTGTCTTCTTGACTGGATTTGATCAGGGATAAACGTTGCCCTAGGTTACCAAAGTTGTTTTACGTTCTGAATATGCGGGGCCTGCACAAGTGTGGCCCAACAGCGATATGGTTGACAGTCAGCAAGGGGTGAGAGCTCTCGGGTAGTAAATT